CAACAACAAAATGCACTATACGGTTGATCCTCCGATCACCACGCAAACCGAAATGCACTTTCTGGTGTTCGCTTCTTTTCCTCCTCCTCGCAAATTGTCAGCTGCACACAAAGCGGTAAGGTGGTATCATAAAGGTAACTCTAAAGCAAACCCCACACGCATCAATATATTGACGCGAAGGGGAATTATTGACAATAATATTGATGATGTGAACTCAGAAATATTGTCAATCTCGATATATTGACGTCAATATAGCATGTATTGACAATACGATTATTGTCAATAAAAGCAATCGTGTAGGGTTCACTTAAGACCACTGGGTCCCGAAGAAAATCATTATTATTTTTGGCTCACTCAGTACCAGAACAACGGTCCCAAGCAGTCCCAAGCTATTTCACTCACCCCTGCATGTTCTGCATGAATCCACACACCCCTGATGTTATCTGTCAAACTTTCATAGCGAATCAAAACAAACATAGTGTAGTAATAGAATTTCAACTAGAATAGGGTACGTTAATCGTTTGCTTGGGACCAATAGGCTACTAAAGTGGTGAGCCAATTTAAAATCGTTAGTTTCGTATTGATTGTTGGTGGTATTGTCAGTTTTACCAATAGTTTTACCACCGGGGTGCCACAGTTGATCACAACAAGAGTGTTGTATCGGTGTCCTCTTTTGTTGGCCGTTAAAATTCACGCCAAAAGCACAGGGGCCTGGCTGGCGGTCATGTTTTTGATGTTATCATCTGCTCTTGTCTTTCTGCTTACAACACGATTTTCCGTCCCTTTCCACCATCTATACGTCAGGCGGGCCGTATTTAAATAAGGTCCGTGATCCTGCCTACTGTCAAACGTATTGGATTGATATGGGGTTGTTAGCACAAACGAAGTGACAGACGGAGCGGCTCGAAAACTTTGGTGACTAACCTGCTATTGCAATTTTTCAGTGTACCACATGGCAACACCACTACCACTGGATTGTACCACATGGCAACACTACTACTGGATTGAACTAGCATTTTCACCAAATGTATTAGAATGTTTTGGTTCTATCTCTTTCACTCTACTCAAAACTGGAATGCATAAAAAAAATGACAAAATGATATACACTCTTTGCACACTGTCAAAGAATCATTGTACACAAAATCAACTTTGGGCAAAACCAAAAAAAAAATACTATCCCATCTGGTGGATGATGGCACAAGCTTCTAAGAAAATTCTATTATAGCGAACCACATTATTTTAATTGATTTCTTCGCCAGTTAGTCGTCTGTCACTTCGTTTGTGGTTGTTAGTCTCCTGCAAAAGCACTTAATCACAGGTGGGTCGTGAAATGCACGGAAAGCTGAAAATTTCTCCTCGTCGACACTGTTATAAGTCTGATATGATATGATACTTCAGCGAGTAATAAACACGACTTCATTGGTTTACAGTCAAAATAAAAAGACAATATATTTTCTCTATTCGATACATAGCTCATGCCCTGCTCCACTCATGTTACACTCAGGTTCAGTTCGGCTTTGAGAGCCCTACCTGAGGAATTGGGTTCTTTAAAGGTATTGAGGTAAATGCATATTCGTAATCTGCATTAAAAATGGAACCCACACCCAAAATTTCATCAATTTTGGTACACTGGAACTATTTTAAATAAGAAAGATCACATTTGCAAAAATCACCTTATTAGCACCCCTCAGTGTCACTTTGTATGGGAGCGAGCTTTCAGTTTGTCAATTTAGTGTCGAACGGTGAAGTTATTATTTTGCTTTAAATCTTGATTTAAAAATCGAGATGAAAGTTTGTGGGTTCGAAAAAAATATCACTGTGCTCAGAAAACGAAGCTCTTTCAGATGATATATAAAAACCGATATATTTTTCAAAACTAAACAACCCAATTATCCATTTTACTGAGCGGACCTTGCCACTACACCATTCACATCACATCATAAGTTCCCAGATCCGTTCTCTCCCAGAATGTGCAAAGCCCTCTTTAGATTATGCTCATGGTGGGTATATAAATGGTGATACAGCTTTGTCACTATATAGGCGAGGAGGTCGCGGGGGGGGGGGGGGGGAGTGCGGTTTTAGAGCAAATTGTAAACAAACTCGGTCGCTGTCCCATACAAAAATCCAACATGGCTGAATCATGAATTTGACACATTAGAACACCTATTATGTAGTCACCTTGAGTATGCTGGCTACTTTTAAGTGTACTAGAACTAGCGCTAGCGGCGCCGGTGGTGTAGTGGTAAGCGTGATTACCTCTCACTCCAGCAGGCCTGGGTGCAATCCCAGTCGGCGCTCTGATCACGCCTTCCTTCGGTCCTTCGGAACACACTTAGAAAAAATTACCGACTTCGGTAATTCATTTACCGAATTCTCAACAGCTGACCGGTCGGTAATGTGTTCGGTAATCGAGAACATTACCGAAAAATCTGTAAACTGAATCAGCAAAATTAGCTGTCAAATTTACCGAACGATCGGTAACGTTTACCGAAAAAACAAACATGATTTGTAATTGATTTTACCGGAGAACTGTAATTTTGAAGTCGATATGGAAAATGAAAATTACCGAAAGATCTGTAATTTATTAAAAAGTCTACCGACTTAGATTTAATGCGCTTTAATATTGTTTCAAGGTGTTTTTCGGATTTTATCAATTATAAAAATTAAACACAAATACTCAGATGAATATTTTTTTTTGAGTTCATTCAATGATGTCTCTGATTCACGGGTAGAACTTGCTTCATCGCATTGAGTAGGCATTTCATGACCGATAAAAAGGGTTTCCCCGAGTGGATCGTTTCTCTTCGTGGTACTTCCGGCTGGAACAAAGCTCTCAAGTGGATGCTTTTCAATGATATGGCGTTTAGAAGAATTGTGTTTGCCGGTATAAAATCTTTCTTTTTAATGTGGTCATTGATGAAAAACCAAGCAACAGCATCGGCCATCTGTAACAATGGGTATTTATTTAGATAACGAAATATCATTACTTACGGAAAATATCTACGATTCGCTCATCTTGGTGTTGCAGCTGGTCCATAACAGCCTCCATAATTGAACTTCTTATTTTTCACAAGTTTCCACTTACAATTTTTTTTTTAAGAAGGTCGAAAATGACAATATGGTGAATTTGACGTTTCTCGCTGTGAAAACTACCGAACTCGGTAATGGAACGGTTTGTTTACCGAAACTTCAGTAAAATATTTCACCGAAGTCAGTGATGAAGCTGATTTACAGATCTGCCGGTAATTTTTTTTACCGTTTTCGTTGGATTGAAATGAAATCACCGACATTCGGTAATTTTATTTACAGTTTTCAGCAGTGGAGCGAGAAAATACCGAAACATCTGTAATTTTTAGGATTACCGATCTAAGACGGTAATTTTTTTACCGAACTCAGGGTCTCTGTTTAAGTGTGAAGGTTCTTTCGGTCCTTCGGAAGGGAAGTATAGCCGTTGATCCCCGGTTCATGAGTTGATGGGTCGATAGGTACGGTCCAGGTATGGGAACTGCATCCCTGGCGTCGGTAGCATTGGTGCTGAGCACGGAAAACAAGATAGACGGAAAACAAATCAAGGAAAAAAATAGAACTAGCGCTAGCAAATCGGCACAGATGTAAACACCACATTAGCGCATAATCAGTTGCGGCTTCGGGTAGCTTGAGTCGTTTCAGATTACCGTGGTGAGCGTCGGTATCGAATGTTGTTTACAACGGAAAGTCTTTGACTCACTACTTGACTAGCCTATTGGTCCCAAGCACATCGAATAACGTACCCCATTCTTGTCGAAATTCTAGTACTACACAATGTTTGTTTTGATTCGCTATGAAAGTTTGACAGAAAAAATGAGGGGTTAGTGGATTTTCCTATGTTTCGAGGGGTGCATCGATTAGTTTGGGAACGAAGATAACTTTAGTACCAGAGCTGAGCCAAAAAGTTGAGAACGTTTCTTCGGGACCTTCTAGTCTTAGAGTTACCTATATGCTTTTACCATTTACCATCCCGAGGTAGTTATCCGAATCAACCGCAATAGGTCCTGACGTTGATAATATCCGAGAAGTGCCTTCCGTTAATCAAAACATGGTCTATTTGTGATTCGGTCTGTTGCGATAATCTCCAGGTGTATCGATATTGGCGGCTGTGCTGGAAGTAGTATGTACTACGTATGGCCATGTTCTCGAGGCGGCGAAATCGATGAGTCTGAAGCAGTTTTTGTTTGTATACTGACGTGCGCTGAACTTTCCGATAACCGGTCTAAATTCCTCCTCCTGACCAACCTGAGCAATGATATCTCTGATAACGATTCCCAATTCTGGATTTCCATTGCAAACATTAACGCAGACGTTATTAACGATTATCGACCCTGGTAAGGACCACTAATTGGGGTCTATATTATACCCGCAGGTACCCGTAGTACTAATGGTACGCATTGTACAGTCGTTTACCAGCCGTATTGCCATTTCCATTCAACATCTCAATTTTGACCAACACACAAATGGGACCGAAATGCGATGAGCGGCAGCTTATAGCTCTAAAAAAGGCAATCAATCAGTTGAAGATCAAATCCAAATCCAAATTGGCTGTTATGGTGTAACTTTCTGATTACTCCAGTTGATTTCGTTTTGTATGGATTAGCGGTTAACACAGCGAAACTGAAAACATATTTTTCACTGTTGAATCAATAGGAAAACTAATACTGCTTTCATTAAAATCAATTTGATTACTGATTTTGATTTCATAATATTTAACTGGAAACGGCCTTAGTGCGTAATTGTTAGCATTTATGCTTTTCACGCTTATGACCGCATGAGATATAATCTCAACCCTCAAAATAAAAAATAAAAAATAAAATACTCAGATGAAATAAAATTTCATTTTGAACAAGACATTAATAGCAACACTCTAATGAAAGTTCAAACTGAGTTTTCATTATGATAGTTATACTATGGCAATCAAAAACACAACAGTATTCCATGCATTTAAAAAAAAATAGGTAATAAGTGAATAAGGTCTCAATATCAATAAATAGTGTATTAACATCTCTTACAATATTATCGTCAAACTACGAACCTATCAACAACTAATCGAATAACAGGAAATATCTAGGACGATATAGCATTCGTTCAGCCCCACAGGGACTTTTTCTTCTCTTTCATGATGATCACTTGGAGGGGCACAGGCTTCTCCACGTAGACCGGGTGCTCCACGTACACTGGATAAGGCTTATTAACATGAACTGCGACTGGTTGGGGGATGCGAATCACGTGGATGTCTTTGTGGACTGGGTTTTGAACGGGAACCTTGACCGGATACGGCACTGGACGGTCCACCTGATATGGAATCTGCTTCTCCACGTAGATGGGAACTTTCTTCTCGATCACTACTGGGACGTTTTTTTCAAAGGCTACCGGATATGGGACGTTTACTGGGACGGCAACGTGCTTCTGAACATGGACTGGGTAGGGCACATTCTTAGTGATCGAACTTACGCTGACGATCTGCTTCTGCTGGCCCCAGCCATGCTGAGGTTGCTGTTGATGGTGATGATACTGCTGCTGATCTTCTTGCTGTTGATGGTAATGGGGCTGATATTCAACTTTTTGCTGTTGCTGGTAATTGGGCTGATATTCAACATTTTGCTGTTGATGGTAATGGGGCTGATATTCAGCTTGTTGCTGTTGAATAGCATGATGTTGAAGTTGTGCTTGCTGCTGTTGATGGTACTGAGGCTGATGTTGATCTTGTTGATGATCATGATGATGATGTTGATGTTGTTCTTGCTGCTGAGCGTAGTGGTATTGCATGGGCTGATGCTGCACAGCCTGGTTTTGATGTTGATGCTCAACATGTTGGTAATGATGGTTATCGATACCGTGATGCATTGGGGTATGCTGTTTTTGAGATTCCCCCTCAAGCTGCTGTTGTTGCATATGTTGATAATACTCCTCAGCTTTGTTCAACAGTTCATCAGGTTGAGACCATTTCTGCTGCTGAGCTTGATGGGGTTGCTTGTAGTGATAATCCAACTGCTGCTGCTGTAGAACGTGATTGTTGTACGACGAGAGTTGCTGATTGCTAATGCTACGTTTCTCCGTCCGATTAGAATTCTCCGCCAAGGTAGTTGATAGTGCGATAAACGCAATAATAACGGTAGCAAACGCCTAGGAAAACAAAAAAAAACAGTTAAAATGTTATACAATTAATCGGGAAAGTTTTGAAACCTACCTTCATGTTGACCTTTCCTAGATGTGATTTAGGCAAGTGATCACGAACGAATGATACTCTTCACCGACTCATCGAGCGGTTTTATACGCGGTATCTTTTTACAACTGCTTTTCAGAGTCGATCGGGCATCTGAAGCACGGCGTGAGATTTGTGCATTTTTTTCTCCTCTTCTACCTATTGGATTAAGCGCTAGCGGTGGTGTTACTTTTTTCGGGTGGAAAACTGTCGATGCGTATCGATTGACCGCGTGTGCCGCAAATTGCATGACACACCCTATAGCCGAAGACGATGTAAGCGAGTTACATACCCACCGCGACGAAAATTTTAGTGCTTTGAGAAGCATTGATTTGGCAAATATACAGTTGAATCACTATCACCTAAAATACAAACCGAGCGCAGTTGAATTTCAACTAATTTCACCTGAACGACCCCAACATAACCATTAGACTGATAGCATTATTAAAATTTTCGAGAGAAAAAGTTTTATATCTTTGTAGGAAATTTTCTCAGCTACAGCTTTCCTAAACACCGTGTTTTAGCTGATCATTTGTTATTAGAGTAGTTATTAGTTAATTAAGAGATAGTTAATCTAAAGATAAATATGTAATATGATGATGGTCCCACCTCTTGCCCCTACAAAGGTTTGAGCTGGACGATGTATCGTTAAGATAATTAAAGATGACAGGTTTTCAAACAAAATCTAACTGGTTACAGCTACAGATATAAATTCTCTCTAGAGTTTACAGTTGCTTCACAGCGATGTAAATGTGGAAAAGCTCAGGCGGCCACCCCTTAGTTCGCCTTTTTGTCCCCCTAAAATATTCATTAGTATTACAAGCAATCAAGAGTTAATGAACAATCAACCAAGCATCCTATTGCACTAGCAACCACGCAATCTGATGCTATCATAATTTTCAGCAATGTCAAGAATGCTCACGAACCCCCGACATATGCCAGAAAACTTACTACTATCTCGAAGTATCTTCTAAATAAGCTTCAAAGTTGCATCAAATGTTAAAATCAGCCCTCCATAACCGTAACACGCGCGTGAGGCTCAAACCTTTGTAGACTACTTTTTTTAAAACTACTACTGTTAAATCAATTATCAAAAATCCATCATCAACATCGTGGCGAACAAAATAGTTTTTGCAGTGCTGTAATCATTACATGTGCATTACTAAAAAGTCGTTATGACAGCTATCCATACAAAACATTCCGTTAGAGATAACTTCGTCAAGATACATAATTTGTCAATTCCTAAAAAAAATCATTGGATAACTGTTCAAAAGACAATTTTAACATGTGAAATACAAATTGTATTATACAATGTATCTTAAATTCTGTTAATGTTGTTGCACGTTTAATGTGTCTAGGCATCGAATTGAAAACATTAACTCCTTTAAAATACAATGAATTCTGTGAAGCACAAGTCAAAAAATGTGGAGTTCTTATTTCATCCGCGTTTCTAATTTTATATCTATGAAAATCACTTCCTCTTTCAATTCGATCACACAAATATCGAGGCAGCAAACCGTTAACTACTTTAAAAATGAACACCATAGTCAAATATAAAACTCTTTGCTTCACCGACAACCATTGTAAGGCGTCCAGCATCAAAGTTGAGGAAGTGAATCTATTACATCTCAAATTCAAACGCAAAGTCTAGATGAGGAGAGATGATTGATTTGTATGGCTGTATTTTACTAGTAATAGTTAAATCGTTTTTCAGCCGACATAGAATTCCATACTTCTTGGCAATTTTTTGATGACATTGTCAATGTGAGAGTTGAACTTAAGTTTGTCATCAATAATCACGCCAATATATTTAATATCTCACACTATCATCTGCAAAAAGATTAATGTCGCAAAATCGTAAAACACGCCGCATGTCATTAATATTCATAATACATGAAAGGGGCCCTAATACCGTACAACAGTGTACTTTGTATGTCTGTACAAGGTATTTATAATCAAAACAAACAGTATAGTACTAGAGTTTCGTCTAGAATGGGATACGTTAATCGTTTGCTTGGGACCAATAGGCTAGTCAAGTAGTGAGTCAATTTCAAATCGATAGTTTCGTATTGATTGTTGCTAATACACTTCCCTGGGGCACTCCAAGGTTATTCCCCACGGAACTTGAAACAGAAACATTTAAAACAGTCCGTTGAGTCCTGTCACACAAATAGCTTTCAAACCATTTATATACAGCACTCGTAATTCCAAAGCGCTTGATTGTACCAATTGATCTTAACAATAAGGGCCTAGAAATTGTTTCAAAAGCGCGTTAAGATTCAAGAAAACAGCAAAAATCGTATATTTACACTCCAAGTTATTTTTCCACTTCGCTAATACCAAATTCAACGCGGTATCCCGATTGTTGTGGTATAAACAAACTATAACTATTTAAATACTCCTACAGCTGCCCTTTAACAACAAGTTCTAATGTGTGCAACATATTGATGGGACGAAACTCTTCGGCTTTAATCGTTCCAGCAACTTTTTGAATAGGAACCACTAAGGATTCCATCCAAATGTGTGGGACATGTCCAGCCTGCAATGGTTCATTAATAAGGTTCAACAAGATGTGGTCAATGACATGAAAGCAATCTTGAATAACTCTAGCATTACCATTGTCTACTCCAGCCGAATTTTCGAGTGAAAAGCAAATCACTCTAAGTTCATCTAATGTAATTGGGTGAAAACCTTCAAATCTACAATTACTATTAACTGGCTGCTTTATTTCGTCAGGTTCATCGACCAATTCAATGGATTGATTAATCAATGAACCTCTGTCGACAAAATAATCATTAAATTTAGATGCAATCCCAACAAACAATTTGAGCTGACTAAATCCTGAATAAGCATTTTTTTTGCTGAGCAAGCAAATGTTTGCCGGAATAAGCTCTTATTCAGCTTTCAATGTTTGTTGGGATTACTTGTTCTGACTGTTCTAATGTGCCATTAAAAGTTATGGACCGCGATTTCTGTTACTAGGTTTTAATAAAGATTTCAAAATTTTCGATAACTCTTTGCTTTTGTTTTGATGCTGATCAATCTTCCTCTGGACATATTCACAACGATTTTTGTTTATCGGTTGTGAATATTTATTACGCGCGATTGTGTACCTACTCCAACGATTAAATATCACTAATTGATCCACAAAACTTATTATACCATTTGTCCTTTTTTTTCCGTTTAAGATGAAAAAGATCCAAATTGTACCAGCTGTTCGAGTTTTCCAAAGAAACAAAGTTTTGCTCAACTAATTTATTGGTACACGTTTTAAAAGTGTTAGTTAGAACAGCTATAGATTCATCTAATCTAAATTACCGGCCGCTAATACCATAGAGGTAACTCTAAGACCACTGGGTCCCGAAGAAAATCATTATTATTTTTGGCTCACTCAGTACCAGAACAACGGTCCCAAGCAGTCCCAAGCTATTTCACTCACCCCTGCATGTTCTGCATGAATCCACACACCCCTGATGTTATCTGTCAAACTTTCATAGCGAATCAAAACAAACATAGTGTAGTAATAGAATTTCAACTAGAATAGGGTACGTTAATCGTTTGCTTGGGACCAATAGGCTACTAAAGTGGTGAGCCAATTTAAAATCGTTAGTTTCGTATTGATTGTTGCTAATACCTTGTTCGGACTGGAGAGTTATAACAACCGGTGGAAACTAACGATTTTTAATTAGCTCACTACTTCACTAGCCTATTGGTCTCAAGCAAATCGATTAACGTACCCCATTCTAGTCAAAATTCTAGTACTACACAATGTTTGTTTTGATTCGCTATGAAAGTTTGCCAGATTAAATGATGGCTTCGTGGATTTTCCTATGTTTCGAGGGGTGCATCGATTAGCTTGGGACCGAGGATAGTACCAGAGCTGAGCCAAAAAGTTGAGCACGTTTCTTCGGGACCTACTAGTCTTAGAGTTACCTCTATGGTATTACGCACTTCAAATCGGCCAACCACGAGCTGGGTCACGTTTGACAGAAAAGTGGTTCGTTTTCGCCCCCGCCTCTTAGGTCTCTGCCATCGTCTCAAAGTTCCGTGCCACTCGTGTCTATCCCAGCTCTGCTTGTCACACCTTCCAACTATAGTCGCTATATTCAAAGTCTGCCGAATAGAATTTCGATCTATCAAAAAGCGGAACCAATTCAAAATATTGTAGACCAATAATTGAAAAGGTACTACCAACTTTAAAAAAAAAACGTTGATTATTCTTTCCTCACCAATCAAGGTAAATTACCAGCATCATCGGATAGGGGAAACTTTTCACAACCAAAAGATGGTGTTGGTTTGTGTAGGCGACCCTTGAGTCACGAGAAAACGGTTTCCGAGATTTTGTTCGTAATAGCTGATGTGTGTCATTCCTAGTTGAACACTCAGTCGGTTAACAACGTCCCGGTCTCAGTCGCGCGGCATCTAGCTTTTTTCGGTGTTTTTTCCGCCCGAGCGGTTTCTGGCATCATTTTCATCTTTGCTAGACGGTAAAAAAGTTTATAAACATTCAGACTCGTTCCGGGTGACTTTCGCAGGTTCAGTTCTCCCAAACTTTGTTAAAATTGATGGTGCTTTTTTTCCGGTGCGACTGTTTGTACAGAGGGTATATAATTGTACCAACTGCAAAAGGCTGGGACACTCGGCCAGCCATTGCGGCAACAAAACTCGTTGTGGCAAATGTGGTGAAAACCACAAAGAGGATTCTTGCCACAAAGAATCAGTAAAATGCGCTTACTGTGGCGAGAATCCTCACCCCTTGCAGGAGTGCCCGATGTACAAACAGCACTCCGATAAAGTGCAGCGTTCAATCTCTGGACGCTCCAAGCAGACATATGCTCAAATGTTGAAGGCTGCATCAGCCGTCCAAGATGCAAACCAATTTTCGGTTTTGTCAGTTGAAGAATCGGACTCTGACTCATCCGATGAAGGTGATTCTACGGTGGTACACGCACCTTCAAAAATAGACGGTTCCTCAAAAAGAAAATGCCCCTCCCCGAAAGTGCGCCGTAAGAAAACTAAAGTCACCTCCAGACGATTGCCAAATTCCCAGAGTAATG